GCAGGAAGAGAGAAAAACATAGGGGAACAGAACTTCAGCTTAGGGAGCTGGATGAATAGGTAGAAGAGCTTTGCTCATTGTATTTGGATTTTCTCATATTTCTTTTTACTTTGAGTTACTTAATCATAGAATCATAAAATATATTGGGTTGGAAGGGACCTTTAAAGATCATCTGGTCCAACCCCCCTGTAGTAAGTAGGAACAATGTTACCAGATCAGGTTGCTCAGAGCCCCATCAAGCCTGACCTTGAATATCTCCAGCCTCTCTGGGAAACCTGTGCCAGTGATCTACCACTCTCATATTGAAGAACTTTTTCCTAATATCCAACCTAAATCTACCCTTTTCTAGTTTAAAACCATTACCCCTCATCCTATCGCTACATGCCCTAGTGAACAGCTCTTCCACAGATTTCTTATATGCATTTTATGTGGCATGCTTTGTAGTACTTCTTTCTTGAAGTGATTTTCAAGTTGCCCTGTGATTAAGAGAGTGATCCTATCTCAAACAGAATTAGTAAAGCTACAAATTAATAATCTCAAAAATATGAGTGGCACTTCTTGTATGTTAGATGAAAAGTTGAGAGGAAAAACTCCAAAAACTGAAGGCAAGCCTGTAGTACAAATCTAAAACTTACATGTTTGAGTCAACAGGGAAACTCCTGATTTTTGGATATGATTGTTCATTTTAAAAAATTTTCATAAAAATATAGTATCAGGACTTCTGATGCACTGAATAGGAGCTGTAAGTGTCCTTTATGGCAGTTGTGGCACTACTCAACCAAGGCTCTGTTAGCTACGAGTTCCAAGTAGTGTTATAGGCATCTGACTCAGAAATCCCTGACCCAAACTTTTGTCCTGTCCCACGGCAGCTCCTACATACAAGGATGTAGCATGTCAGATAAAAGTCTGGTGAGCAAATAATGAGATGGACCTTACTCCTCTGTCATTAAAGATTTTGTAAGAATTTATTAATTATTGTATTTCCATGAAGTTCCAAATTCAATTTCCCGGTAGTGTTTGCATTTAATATGGCAAAACTAAAACAATTTGTAATGTTCTTTTTAATAACTAAGAGGGATTTATTGGAATAATCTGTGACCTTTTCATAAGGAGGAAGAGGTGTTCCTCACACCCTTCTCCCACAAGAGAAGGAGAGATGTATAAATAAGTCAATGGGCACACAGATGTATATATCACTGCTTACGTAAGTAAACACTAGTTAATGCCTTATATGCAAATCCTTTTTTTTTTGGGGGAAAAATACTATAATGCTTGTAAGTGTTATATAACTACAATACATGTGTGTACATACATTTATCAGAATGGATCATCAAGAATTTTTTAGGGGAGGTTAGTTTGTGCTCCCAGCTAAAATGACAGTTCCTTTTATCTGCTTCAAGTTTTTCATTACTTCATGGCTTTGCATTGTAAATAAATTGCTTCCACTTTTGGGCGTAATTATTGAGATCCCTGGTGTCTATGTGCATTGCAGTTTTGAATTAGCCTGTTGTTTTCATGCTCTGAGCCTTCAACTCACACAGTCAGAGTTACCCACTGCTGTTTTTATTAAACATGTACTTTGTAGAAACGGACTTGAATAGCTGGAATTGACTGTCATTGGCCAAAGTTAGAAACAGAGTTTGTGGAGTATCTGGATGTGTGTCTATATTCACATGTACCTGGCTGTTACTGTGGCGGCTAAGTATACTGGCAGTGTCTAACTGATCCAGATGTGTTTTAGGTAGGAAATACAGATGCTGTTAGTCACTATGATCAGATCCTCCTCACTGTACGTGCTTAATAGAGGTGGCTGAGGAGGCTGTGAGGAGCCTTGGCGCTCTCTTAATCTGACAGAGGCTCCAGAGAGACACTCAGACCACCATGGTCTGGACTGCTTTCTGCTTCGGCTGAAGGGCACTCAGATAAAGCTTTGTAGGTGGAAGAGTGAATGGGCCCTGTGTGTTAACTTGTTGAAACGGAAAACATTTGCTGCTGCTACCTGTGCCTTTTGCTTCTGGGATCAAGAATTTTGGTCCCCATATGCAGTAGAGCTTTACTTTATAGTTGACATTCATTGAAAGACAGAAGTGTGATCCTTTGGCTTCTTTATGCCATGTTTGATGTAATTGCCTTATCACGTTATTTTCTTCCAGGAAGAGACCCCCCAAGGCAGCTTATGCAAATGTCTTAACGAGCGTCCACTGTCAAAGATTGGGACCATTGCTTGGATGGTAACTCTAAGTGATGCCGTGCATAATTTCATAGATGGTTTGGCTATTGGTGCTTCTTTCACTTTGTCTCTATTTCAAGGGCTCAGTACCTCCATAGCCATCTTGTGTGAAGAGTTTCCTCATGAACTAGGTAAGGAACTTCATTCAACATGTTGCTTACTGTGGAAATCAATGTTGTAGAAGGTTGTGCTGGCTGAAAGTTGGCATATGTTAAAAGAAAGTTTAGACAAATTAATGGAAAGAATATTAATTAAAAATTTTTCAAGCACCAAAATATACATTTAGCACAGGTAGTTCCAAAGGGCAAGTGGATGGAGGCTGAGACTGTATATTAGAGAGGTATTAATTACCCTGCTCATATATACTGCTGTATTATCATTTTTAAAAAAATCATTATAGGTAGTTCTGTGTTCCTATGCTTTTAGCTGAATTGTGCATCACTCACTTGCTTTAGAATATTTAAGTTACCTCACTGTTGAAGGAAAATACTCATCATTTACTTGAATGAAGAAAACCAGCAGGGAGTTATAATTTGTATAGAAATCATGTCTTTTCTTCAGACTTCCTTTGAAATCAGAAAATAATCACAGTATCGTTTTCTGAATATGGTTTTCTTCCCCCCCCCCTTTTTTTTTCAGGCGATTTTGTCATCTTGCTTAATGCAGGAATGAATACTCGTCAGGCTCTGTTTTTCAACTTTATGTCTGCATGTTCCTGTTACATTGGGTTGGCTTTTGGTATATTAGTAGGCAACAACTTTGCTCCTAACATCATCTTTGCTGTAGCTGGTGGAATGTTCCTGTACATATCCCTGGCAGATATGGTGAGATATGATTTCATTTTCAGTTATTTATTTTTCTTCAAGCAAACAAAGACTGCACTAAGTCTCTCTGGTAGAATTTAATATTTTGTCCCTCTCATACTAGTGTCGTCTGCTTATTTTTATTATTAGATGTTAAATAATCAATTTTATGCTTAATGGAGGTACACAAATAGTTATGCTTATTCATGAAACATGAAAGCCTTTCACTTCATACATAGGGCTGATCAGATTATTGCTGGATAGGTGTTTTAGAGAGAGAAGCTTTTCATGAATTTGGTCTGGTTTCTTCAGAGTAAGAAGTGTATAAATTGTTTCAGCATTTTAAAGTGGCAAAGTATTTCACCTGATTATTTGTAAAAGATTTCTTTTTCTTTTTATTTAAACCATATTTTAAAATAAAAGAAAAAAAGGTAACCAAAGTGAAACTAAGTATTTAGTTTTGAGTTGAATGAAAGTTATTGTGTAACCACAGTGAAAATTTTGGGGTTGTTTAGGTGAAAAACTTGACTTAAATTCTATTCTGGTTTAAATTTAACAGTGCTAGCCCCAGTTTCTTGGTTCAGACTAAAAAAATTGCTGAATTCTGTTCAAAACAGCCTGTCATTTATTTTTCAAGGTGTGCTTGAAGATACAAGCCAAATAAATTGTGCTAAGATCCAGATCAGGTTTAGACATTGTGAAATAAAATCTGGATTCACAGACCATAAGTTACTCTTGAGATGATGTTTTATCTCAAAATGGGAGGGATCTTTCAAGAATTTTAAGTATTATAAGAACAGATGTATCTGCAAAGATGTTTATACTGGCTATGTGAGAATCCATTTGAGTGTAGAACTGGAAAAGTGAGGCCTGAATTTGAAGAGATTTGAGACCCCAGTTTTTTTCAATACATGCTTAAGAACTGTCATATAGTTATAGTATTTCATTAAATACTATTATAGTTTAGGTAATAACATAGAATTTAAAAGATGTCAGATTAAAATAAGCAAGATAATTAGTTTATTTTACAAGTTTGCGGTACCTTAATTGCTAATGCTTTTCATTTAGTTTCAGTCTTATAAAATGAATAGTAGTGTATTCAACTATGATGTGTGAAACTCATGGCATAAATTCAGAGTGGCTCAACTTATATTTCTCCTTAAATCTATCAAAGTAGGTAACATTCTTTTCTTTGTATCTGTTGTTCTGCTTTCTCTGTTCCTTTTTATCAGTCTCTCTCCCTTCCCTCCTCTCTCTCTCTTTTTATAGGTTTTTGGATTGTATCAGTCACCTATCTGAATTTTTCTTCCCCCTGAAAAGTCTGAAATAGGGTATTCAAGTGCTCTGTGCAGAGATCTGGCTTTCTGCTTTCTGTTATGATTTTCACACACTTCTGGTTTGCTTGTCTGGTAGCAGGTAGGATTAACTAGAATGTCATTCCTTCCTTCTTTTCTTTTTGCTGTTCTTTTTCCCTCCAGTATTGGCATAGTCCCACCTCTGCCAGTAAGTGTGGTGAGGCTGTGGGTGTGTGAGAATGTGTACACTGAGGTGTGTGCACAGATGAGCCTTCCTGCATGGCATGAAGCTGATCTGGTTTGTTGTCTTTGCCTCTTGTGCAAGAGGATTACGGAGCTCTGGAATGACTTCTGGGAAGGTTTCACCACTTCCCACTAAATTTTGTCTGTTCTTCAAGAATTGCATTACCTTCAGTGGTTGTTTTTGCCTTGTGAGATCAAAGCAAGCTACGGCTTCTGAGTCATCCAGCCTGAAGGTTTCTAGACTAACACTGCAATATACATACAGTCTTCATTACATTCTGGCTGCACTACTCTCAGCACAACAGGAGAAGAGTTTAAAGCTTATTTTAGTATGTTTGTCAAAGTTAACTGCAGCTGACTTTATCTGCAGCAAACACATAGCCTGAATCACCTCATATGGGGAACTTCATCGCCAGTGCTCATCTGCCTTCACCTCCATTGGCTCTCAGAGGAATTATCTCTGTTTCTGCAGTTAACAGCAGATCAGTCATCCTTTGCTGTTATGTTTCCATTACAATGCGAGTTACTGAATGAAGAATCCTTTCATTACACTGTAATGTAGTATTGTGTGTGTTACCACCAGTTTTACAACATTCTTCTTTCTTGTTTTACCACTTCCTTATCAGCCAACCTGATCTTTTATTTGTAACAGGTTTCTTATTTCAGAGGAGTTCCCTATGTTTTCAGCTTCGCTTCATTTGTTTATAGATAAAGCAGAAGAATCCTAATATTCCATTTCCTGAGCAAGGATTTATCTGTCTATAGTAGTGAAGGAAGAAACACAACATTTAGCAATATAAGGGCAGCTGCTCCTTGTAAGATGTGGACCAACAGCCAGACACTAGGAGACTGCTGGAAACTAACTGAGGAAATTTGCATGAGAGATAACCAGGTGAAATCACAGTAGAGAGGAATAGAACACCATTTCATTTTACCATCCTTGGTGAAGTGTTTTTTCAGGATAGTTAAGGTGACCTGTTCCTGTGATTGCCTTTACCCTCTGTTAGTTCTAATATTCAGTACAAAGTAGCAATATGGTTCAGTTCTTAATGCCTTAAGTTATGCACGCTACCACGAGATGGCAATACTTACCTAAAAATATCCTTTTTTCCAGTTCCCAGAGATGAATGATATGCTGCGAGAGAAAGTCACAGGAAGAAAGATGGATCTCACATTCTTCCTTATTCAGAATGCTGGTTTACTAACAGGGTTTATTGCTATACTGATGATAACCTTGTATGCAGGAAATATTGAGCTGTGATAATGCAAGCGAACATGGAATCAGTACTGAAGACATAAGTAAGTTACAAATGGAAGACACTTGAAATCCATAAAAGGGACATTCATTTTATCTATTCGGTTTTGAAACGGTGACAAGTCCCATCCTGTCCCCCTTGCTCCAAATACAGGAAATTCTTATTTCGGACTTGCAGTCAACCCAAATAGTAGAAGCTGTCAGCTTCTGTACTATGCCAAAGAACCAATTCTTGTATTCTTTATTTCAAATTAAAATTATCAGACATATCTGAACTGTCATAAAGAATGTTACTTGGCCAGTAGAGTTATGCAATGTATGCAACTACATGCAACTCAAGACAAAATGAAAGCTGAGGTCTTCGAGGAAGATGCTTATTTAAAAGAAAATAATGGAGTCTCTTATCCTTTTTTAACTGTGATAAAGGCAAGCAGTTTCAAATCTGGTTAATTTTCATGACTTTTGCAGGATTTGTCTATGTAACGTCCCCTTCCCCCACCAAAAAAAAAATCAAACTCTTTCAGTGTAGGTACTAATGAAGCTAAGATTTTTAATTACTAATTAACACTGGAAGGAAAGATACCAGTTACTGCTTTTGATCTTTTCTCTTTATAAGTGCACTAGGGAATTGTTGATTTATTTTGAGAACCACTTTTTTTAATTAGAGGGAACCTGTGTTAAATTTATGGCAATTTATCAGCTCCATAATATTTTAGAAACATTGAGCATTTTTAAAATGTTCAAGCATTATGTATTTTATGAAAATAATACTGTTTTATATTTAAGCTCCACAAATATCCCTTTTAAAAATCAGTATTTTGGATTATGATTTTGAAAGATTTATTGTTCATTTTACAAAGTGGAATTTAGAAAATAAACGTGTTAAAATCAACATTCCAGTAAGTTTTTTTGTAATTCAAATAGTTTTCTTGTGTGCAGTTTGGTGAACGTAAGTGATACTAAAATATATAAACTCTTATCACAATCTGTTGCATGAGAACTTTCTAAAATCATGCTTATATGTATGAGTCTTCTGAAATAAACAATTCAGCTACTCTGGTGTTGTAAGATGTATGCAAGGAAATTAATAAAAAATATATTCTGTTTCAGCCACCTCTAAGTTCAAAGGGAGTGTTATTATTCTTTAGTAAGTTACTTTTTTGTTGATTTAGTTGATTTATTTTGTTGTTAATTTTACAACTTCTAAGAAAATACTGTTTCTTGATGTATTTCCTGGCAATAGGAAGGGACAAATACTTTATTTTTAATTCAATAATAAATTAGATTTTCTGTCAGGTAAAGGATTAATTTTAATATTTTACTTGATTTTTATCCGTAATTGCATTAGAAAAAATAACTTCTCTAGGTGTCTGGTTGGTAAAAACTTTAAAGCAGACTGCACAGCAGTTGTAAATTATGCTTATTTTAAAATAAGTTATAAATGTTGAAATGTAATTATACTCGTCAATGACATTTGCTTTATGGAAAAAGCATTTATTAATCACTTTATGCCTTCTGAGTTTCTGTGAAGAAGAGTCCCTAACCCACTCCAGGTTCTTTCCTTTAATTTTTTCTTTTGTTGATTCCTTGGATATAAGCTGTTTGTACATGCTACTCTTGTGTATGACAAGAAAAAATTATAATAACGATGACTGTTTATTGACTCCTTAAAGTCATATGACCATTCCTAGTTCATCAGGTTATTATAATAAATACACCTGCATGGTACTTTTCACCTTTAAACATTTGCAAGAGAGACTTGATTTTTGTTATTTCACAAAGGATGAAAAACTGAGACAAGTGCATCATTGAAATAACCTACTTTTAGATCACAGAGCAGAGATGAGATGGAACAGGGTAGTGCTTTAGTCAAAAACCAAATTGCCTTTTCTGCTAGTGGAATATTTAATAGATAAGAAACCTTTTGATTTCTGTATGAGCTGTTTTTTCTGTATAATCTTTGCTATTATGTTTGTCCAGTACATATAAAATAAATATGTTCCAATTCTAGTACTGCCAGGGATTTCCTAGATTTTGCTGTTACGTCCAGGGAGGAAGAAGCATGAGTTTAGAGTTATTGCTTTTGACATTTCAATGAATTCTTTACTGAATAAGGATTTAAAAAATAAAAATAAAAATTTGATCTCAACTATAGCCAGCTAAATTAAATATCAGCCTCATTCTAACAGTAGTCTGGAACTCATTGTAGTCTTCTGTATGTTGGAGTATTTGCCCTGCTGCTCCATTTGCAGCCTGTCTGAAGCTTTGTGTTACTTGAGTTAGAAGAGCTACAAAACCTGATCTACATAGTTTAAAGATGACTTGAACATGCATAAATTACATTCAGTTATGCTAATGATAGCAGTGGATACATCTCTTATTTGATACACATAGAGAATGAATTATCTGTGCTAATTTTTGTGTTACAATCTGTAATTCTTTTTTGGGAAACCACTGGTTTTACCTGTACGTAGGTGAACAGATTTGCGTATTTGCATGTTGGTTTGTCTTGTTCTCCTAATTCTCCTTCTGCAGGCAGTTACTCTGTATAGATTGGTGCTTGCCAGCCAACCATTTCATGTGTGCATATGCACCAAATGCATATTGTAGCTCTTGACTTTTATTTTACTATAAGATCCCAAAGTTTCCAAGAATGCTATAGCTGCCTTATCAGCTCTTAAAACACTTCATGCACAAGTTCTCTCCAAGATTTGAGAAGAAACTCCTCTCCCTATCTTGCAGTTCAATTCAAAATGTACAGGTGTGACAAGCTGAGAAAGGCTGCTAAAATGAAAACTAAACAGGAATCCAGAAGTCCTCTAGCAGTAGATATAATGCACCTGTCAAAGATAAGGTTACGTTGCATTTCTAGGGCTTAATCCCTACTGCATTTCTTTCATACCCAATACACTGGGCTTGCTTTGTGTTTTGGTTTGGTTTGGTTTGGGAGTTTTTTGTACTTATTACAGTGCTTTTGAGGAAGATAATGTATTTACATGTTTTGTAGTCCCTGTTATGATCACAATGCTTTATCCTAACTTAAACCCCACACACACAATTTTTACATCTTCTTTCATTTTAAAGTTAGGTGCTACAGCATTTAAGGTGTAAAAACAGGAGATATTGAATGGTGTATGAAGTGAACTGCAGGAAAAATGTAGTTTGAATTGATGGAGAGCATGTAAATTTAGGAGATAATGTAATGCTCCATAATGTAGCTATTAACTACTGCTCTAGGTGAAAGCACTATGAAAGATTCATAGTGCCCAAATTTGATTTCCTTAAGAGAGGTAACAGTTCCTGACTCTACAAACAAACTACTTCAAGTAAGGATTGTTACATTCTTCAAGATAGAAGACTAAATTAAAAAAAGCAGAGTATAGGCAACTACAGTATCCAGAGAGGGACCTGGATGTCTGTACCATGCTCAAAAACCTGTTCTGTTTTGTGACTGTGTCATTTGCAGCCTTTGTTTCTATGTGACTTTGGGAGAATCATTGATGCAGATGAGTAATAGCATCTGTAATCGTGACATGGCGGGCTCTGTGGTGCTCAATATTCCACCTGTTCTTTTCTCCTTCCTCTAGAAATTAAGGAGAGTAGTGGGTCAGCGTATTTTGGGAGGAGGCTTTTTTGAGTGTCTTTCTGTTCTGTACAAGAAAATAAAGTGAATGTACCTAAAAACACATCAGGAGCACTGCGCTTATGAAGATGCTTCAAGAAGTAATTCTTTATACAGGACACATGCAAGGAAAGAATACAAAGTAGAATTGATTTGTAAGAAAAATGTTTGGTTTCTTAACAAAGCTGCTTAGCAAAACTCATGGAGAACTGCTTCTTTAGATCAAACTCTAGATTAAAGAGTATGGAAAGCATTTTCTTTGAACTTTTAATTCCTGTTTTGTTTCTCTGAACCACAAACAAGGCTTTTGTATCTGAAACTCTTACACAGACAAGCAAAGCCTTTCAGTTATTTCACCCTAAACAGGGTCCAATACTGTTTTTCCTTATCTTGACTACCTCCATGGATAGTTGTTAATTTCCTACTGATTTCTAGCTGCCTTGTTCCATCTTTTAATTTGCAATCTTAGCTTGTGTTAGAGGAAAAAAAAAAGTCACTTTTTACTTAATGTTAAAAAAACAACCCACCCTCTCTATGATTTACTGCCCTTATTCTTGTGCTTAACTGGATTCTTTGATTAGTTTTGACTATAAAATACTTCTATTGTGATTGTGACTATAAAATCCAATGCATATTAAGTTATTGTGTTGACTTCAGATTGAACTGTTTAGTTCTCGTGTACTCCTTTCAGATTTAGATACCAAATGGTCCCATAAAAGGTGGTCTATTTAAGTAGCATAGCTTACAGGTAAGGAAAGTAAGTCAATAACATGAAATAGCAGAAGGCAAGAAACAGTTAGAATATGAGCCTTCTGTCTATATTTGTTAGCTGTCCTTCAGACCATTTGAGAAGATTGATGACATCCCAAAAGATAATATAATCAGAAACTCTCCTTCATTCTTTATTACCTTCTTCTATAAAATATTGGTTACAATCTGTCCATTGTTTTCTGTAGCTTTTGTGTATGTACAGTTGTTGTTCAGGACACTGGGAGCAACACATGCATAAATGTGGTTTAGTTTAAAGGAGAAAAGGATGCTATTCTTTAGCAATAAAATCCAGACCTTACATACATGGGGAAAAATATAACATTTATGAATGGCTCTTGGCTGAGATCAGAAACATACTGCTTCTGGGAAACTCCAAAATCTGATCACCTCTGTTTTATCATGGCTTCACCTCATCATTCACAGACAGTATCTTCTGATGGCAGCTACATATATCCCATTTCAAATTACTTGTTTTGCCATCTAAACAAGTGCTGAGGAGGAGCCTGTCATGATTTTGTTTGCTACAAAAATACAATTGGACCTACGAAGTCGCGGATATTAGGCACATGGCACATAACAACAACAACAACTAGCAGTCCTGTTCAATAAAAGC